GGACCGGGTCTGTTTCAAGGAGAGCGTTCGCGGAGACCTGGAGAAAGAGAAGGAAATGGGGAGTCGACCCTCGGTTGCATACGAAGTCTATTCCCAGGCTCTTCTTCTTGGGTCTCTGATGGGAGATGGGCATCCAGGAATCCGTGGATTCTCCTGTGTTAGGGCTCTGCTGTAAAAATTTCCTCAGGAGACAGGAAACAGACACCAAGCCTGGGCAAAGATGAGGTAGAAGAGAAAGGAAGGGGGGGTGTGGGAGGTGGGGGGCTGAAGGCCGGGGAGTCACCTTAAACTCACGAGAGAGAAAAAACAGACTATTAACTATGAGGGAGAAAGAACATGGCAGAGGGATCCCATGTGTTATTATAGAGCTCAGGGGTATTTTATTTGTTTGTTTATTTGTTTACATTTAAACATTTATAGCCCAACTTATATGGTAGTATGTCCTGAGAATGGCTGATGGTTGGATTCCAAAGGATCTCCTGTACAGAGAATTAGTGCAGGGAAATCGCCCCAGAGGGAGACCACAGCTGCGATACAAGGACATCCGCAAGCGGGATCTGAAGGCCTTAGGAATGGACCTCAACAGATGGGAAACCTTGACATCTAAGCGTTCAGCCTGGAGGCAGGCGGTGCAGCAGGGCCTCTCCCAATTTGAAGAGACCCTTATCCAGCAGGCTGAGGCCGAGAGGCAGTCCCGAAACCAGCAAAATCTCTTGAGACTGAAGGATGCCTAATAATCAGTATGGTAGTAGGATGTGGTGGAGTGGATAAAGTGATGGATTAGAACGTGCCCATGGAGACTCATTGGGGTAATGGAACTGGTCAAGCCAGTTCGTTTTACATATTTCATATCCCATGATTTCTCTCTCTCTCTCTCTCTCTCTCTCTCTCTACACACACACACACACACACACACACACTGTGCTGGCATAAATTCAACAGCATTTCCTCAACAAAAGTTCACATTATGCAGAGGTAGATGATTAAGCTCTAGAGACGCACGTGTCATCGAACAATCCGTGGGACAGGAAGAACAAGATGGCTGCATCAGGGTCAGGATTCAGTCTGACAGCATAAGTGGAGCAATTAAGTGAGGCACAAGAACAGAAGGGCCAACACACCCTACCCCCACAGTTGTATACAAAACCCCTGAAGCAGGCGCCTGTCAGGGATGGTGGCTCGGATTTCCTGTTCCATCCCACGAGGTGACCCATTATTTTCTTTGTCCTGGAATGAGAGGAAACGGCAAGCACGTCATCGGCGTGAACCGGAAGGGTCCTGCAGAGCCGGTGGCCGTGTGATGGGACGGAGCGCACGCTCTGCTCTGCTTCAGGGCTCAGGGGCAGATGATTTCGGTGGAAGGCGAGAGGCTGGGGAGAAGACGGGTCGGCCTGCCGTGGGAAGGAAAGGCCGAGAGGGGCTGACTTTTGCACCCGCTCGGATGCGAGGGGTGGCTCTTGAAGGATTCCTCTCAAGAGGGTCCCCTTCACGGCCGGCCATGATTCTTTGCTCGTTACTGATCTCCTTCAGAAAGAACAAGGGACGGGGGAGCAGCGTGGGCCTTTGAGAGGACACGAAGAGCGGGTGATGCCCTTTCTTGACTCACTAAACATCCAACAAAATTGCAAGCTTTCGAGGAGGAAATCATTTCTGGCTTCCTTGAGGTTTCTTCTCAGCATTCCTCCTCCCTCCCTCCTACAATCAGAACTTGAACTTTGTCATTTCAACAAATACTCCGTTTACCGACTTGGAAGGCTGGAAGGCTGAGTGAACCTTGAGCTGGCTCTCTGGGATTGAACCCCGGGGTCATGAGCAGAGTTTTGGCTGCAGTGTTGCAGTTTAACCACTGTGTCACAAGGCTCCTTAGGTCTGTGGAAATTCACTGCTGTCATCCCCGCAGGCCAATCTGCTGTATTAAATAGTTCCAGATTCGTAGACTGAGGGGAATGGCCCAACCGAAAGCAATCATCTAACCAGTGTAACAGGATCTCCCAGTGCATACAGTCTTTTAAGACCCAGATAAGCTGAAGGCTAACATTCTCCAGATAGGGGACACCTCTTCCAAAAGAGGCATTAACAGCCAGTTTCCTCCACTCTTTGTTTTAATGGGAAGGTGTGGCAGATCAGGAAACAACGTCACCCTCACTCGCCCCGTGACACACACGCACATCTGTTACTCACTGCGGGTCAAACCCTGCTAGTTGCAATCAATGCATCTCTATTCTTGCAGCCCTATATTTTCCCCTTCGTCCTATTTTTCCTTGAAATTTCTCTTTCCTAGTATGTCTTCAACTGGACACTGAGCAACATTTATAAATATATGTGAATAAAGTTCTTTTAAAAGCCCACGACATTCTGTAATTAACCATTGGCTCCAGCCTCTCGTCTACGCCACGGAAAGAGATCATGCCACGTCTTCTCCGTGAGGGCTTTTGCCTTGTATATGCCATTTTTTAAAAAGGGTATTTACAGTATATGGCATTTAAAACCTGTGGATCGCTCGTATAGCGTTAGCTGCCTGGGTCACCATGTGGGGAGAAAGGACACATATAAATAATATAAACAAACCAAGATGTTCCTGTTCCCCGTGATAAGGGGATCCACCTCTATGAACCACCCCTTCCACATAAAACAAAGTTTCTTCAGACTTTCATAGAATGGAATGATGGAGTGAGTGAAGGAAGGCGAGACTCGGGAGGAGGAGGAGGAGGTTTGGGGTTGCCTTTTCTGAAAGTGGAGGCAGCCTGCCTTTTTCCTTCCTGGGCTGAGGCACGCACCACTTTGACCAGAGTGAGAAGCAGAGAGATTTGTTTCCCTTCACCGGCATTATCTAGGAAAAGAATCTGGTGTGGAAAACAGGAAGCTGGGCTAGGCTGCCCTCGCTTCTGGTCCGTCACCGTTATTCCAGTCTTCCGTACTGTTTAGGAAAATATTTACCATGAGAGGAATACAGGGCAGATCCGGATCCTGCCTTCTCCTGGGAGGTCAGGGTCAACCCCCCCTTCCCCCTATGGATAGCTAAGGGTACCTTTGGTTTATTCTCCTGCCGCGCGAGGCCTAACCCTGACAGGAAATGGACAAGAGCGGACCATTAGCAGCATTGCGGAGGCAGGAAACACCTGCCGGTTCCTCTCTTTCCAGCTTTGTAATATTTCTACTTCCACAAAGTCCGAACACACGTCTCTCCCAATCTCACTGGCCCTGTACGCCCAAGCTGGCTGCTCTAGGAAGACCCGGGCCGGGAGGTTCCTGTCGCTCGGTCCTCGGGGAAATCTTGCGCAGGTGCTGGCTTGATGCGGGGAGCCCGGCGGGAGAGGCGACATGGCAGAACCACCATTGGTCCCGATCCACAGAACAAGTCCTGGCCAGGCCCACCCCAACCAGCAGTGCCTTGGATGACAAGAGAGAGAAGGACAAGGGATCACCGTCAGAAGGCGATGGGAAAGCAGCTTCTGGATCATGATGAGCAAAAAAAAAGGTTAAGGTCCGGAAATCTCCTGTGGAAGTGGACTCTTGTTCTTTCCCAAAGTAATCCCTCCGGGACTGAGTGAGACCCAGAGGCGTTCCCTTCTTTCTGCAAACTTCTGTTAGTCAACATACAGAGGGCCCAGGAGTTGAGTTCAGACAACCACACCTTGGGTCCAAGCATTCTGGAACACTCAAAAAGCCATGTCGGGCTTTGTGGTCTTTACGAATAATGGCAGGCTTCGATGCTGACTTGGGGCGACCCTTCCTGGGGTTTTCTGGAGTCCTCGGGAACGGTTTCCCATTCCTTTCTTCTGTGCCCACCAGCTAGCTGCCTTTTCTCCCGGGAGACATGGCGAGGTATCCAACGCCCGACGCCTGGGTTTTGCAGCCCCATGCCTAACGTGCTGAGCTTTCCTACCTTTTAGTATTTATTTGGTCCCAATAAAGGTATTCAGACCAAGGGGATTTTCGAGGCACCCACTTCTGCCGACCTGCCTTTCTGTGCTCTTTGATGCACAACGTACGTACGTGTATCCCTGTTGCCATCTGGCGGACAGAAGAGACAACGGCCTCTGCTTTCATGACAAGCCCACCTTAACCGCCCCGAGAGGAGCAACTTGGCAGCAAGAGAAGAGATTCGCAGACTCCCCTGAACCGACTGGAAGTCTTGACTCTTGAAAAAGAGGGCTCAGGAACCACGCAAGGAGACAATAAAGCCAAAGACGTTTAACCAATGCTTTTTTTTATTTCAAAATGACCTGTCTTTTGCAGTTTAGCATATCTGGAGGTAGCTGCAAAAATTACTGGATCCGTTCCCAAATGGCTCGAGTGTCTAAGTTTTATGAGCACATCACCAGGAAGCTTTCCGGCAGGAGTCACTAAAATCAAGGACAGGCTGCATTTGGAGGCTTCCTGATGGATCCTGTCCTAAATTCGTTAAGGCAGACAGTGAAACGAGATCTATAAAACTACTGTGTAAAATAAAATTTACAGCTTAAGGAGGGGTTGTTTCTACTGATTGTCAACACAATAGGGCTTCCAGTTTCTTTTCCCTTCTAAAAATGCTGCACTCGGTGTCCTACGGATGTTAGCTGAGAGTTACCCCTTGATGCTGATGGCTTAGGGGGAAAAAAGTGGAACTGACCGAGAAGAGGCCTGCTCAAAGGAAGACACAACACCCACCAAGAACCAGGCATGGTTAAAAGGCAAGGCGTTCCTATGAATGAGTAAACACAGCTTTCTTTAAAAGGATACGGGAGCTAGCGTTACGTATTTTGCTTATGATATGATCCCTGGGCAGTGACTTCCCGAGATTCACAGGAGATGCCCTGCTGGGACATGAAGCAGAGGCCATTTGGCGTCTTCAAGGCTTGGTGCCCGAGGTGGAGAAGCCGCCTGATCCTCGCCCCTTGGGCTCCACCCACCAGCAGGTTTCCCTGTACAGTTGAGTTCAGTGCCAGGAGCTAAAGTGCCCTCTGTTGTGGGTCCCTTTCATTTCAACAGGACGTCCACCAGCAGAGCCTCCCGACAGGAACGTAAGAAGCGCTCTTCCGTCGAGCAGGACCGTTGAGTGGACCGAGCCGGGGCGGCTGCGCTCGGCCACGCATGGCTTGCCTACATCTCGGGCAAGAGTCTTTCACACACACACACACACACCCAAGGACTTGCCTTGAGCCAACTGTGGACAAAGACACCACCCGGTGAGCTACAGCCCTCCTCGGCTCTCTGGCCTCTGAGACAGACCCACCTGCCCCCGAGGCAGCCAACGACGTCCCCACCTGGTCTGGGCAAAGGCCACGTTCCGGCGCCCTTTCCAACCTCACGTCAACTCCGTTCTCTCCACGCCTCTGCCTTCCTCTAGGAACTCTTTGCTAGCTTACACCGTGGGAGATTGCAGCCAAGATCCGCTGAACCAACAACACCAACACCACGCTGCAGGGGACGGATCCATCTCCTGGAGCTGCCATTTAGGGCCGGCACGTCAGGGCCATCGCTGGCTTTCATTCATTCATGACGCTCAAACAGAACAAGCGGCGGCGTCAGGAGCGGCCCTCCTGCTGCCTGCTGCCCCATGTCCCTGCTGTTCCTCTCCGTGCATTCTGAGTCCACGGATTCAAAAGGCTGGGAAGGTAGACGTTGTTGGGAACGGATGGCTCGGAGGAGGCTCCTTCGGGAGGGGGGGCAGCCCTACCTCCTAGACACAGCTCAGTTCATGAACTAGCCCCCTACAATGCCAGGACAGCTTCCAGAGACACGCCTCCTGCGCAGAAGCGAAGTTCCTTCCTTAAGACTGCTTGTTCACCCTCCACTTCTTAATGGACGGCTTTGTTCCTTTCAGGGCGTCAGCTGTGGATCCGTGCAGAGGCAACTTGCAGAAATGTCTTGAGTTCTATTACTTCCAGAACTTTATTCGGTGAAGTTCTTGAAAATGGGATATACTCCCGGTTTGTTACTGACCAGGCACCATTTCCTAGTGGCCCGTTTCCCCTTGTTTCAAGCCCCACGGCCTCAGCACAGGCCAGCCTCTCCAGCTTAAGGGCTCGTCCTCATGGTTACGAGCCTGCCATGCCGAACTTCACATTCTTAAGCCATTGAACCTGCACCTGGGCAGGAATCTGAGGACCGGCTTCCTCCCTTCTTGGAAAGCAGGAAAGTCAGTCATGTAGAGAAAAAAAGGAGCCAACGGCCAATGAAGGGATGAAGCAGCAGAGGGCAATAAACCTTTAAAAACATAGAAGGATCCATACGATGTACACAAGTACATGTATTTCCACATCTGCAAATAACATTTAATGGCAAGATCGTGCCACCCACAAGGTGGAACCTCCTCTTGTTTCCACATGCTCAGGGCACAGTCCCGTATCACCTCCAACAGCAGACAATAAGAGCAATGCGTGATGAGCATGACGTGTTTCCTCAGGGGGTGAAAGACTGTCCCGGGCCGTACTTTGGGCTCGAGAGATTCTTTGCCTGCTTCTAGCTGACAGTGGCAGCACCTCATCCTTTTGAATTCAAGGGCTTTGTAGCAAGTTTAGGGCTTAGGTGCTTTGCGGAGCTGAAGCCAAACTGCAACCCGCTGGCATTGGGACTTGGCTGACAGAAGTGGAGAAAAAAGGTCCACAGGAAAAACTGTTTTCTTAACAGGAGGTGTTTCCCCCCCCGCCCCCGTTGCTGCTGTGCTTCAGAGGGCCACGAAAACCACAGTGAAATCAGTGGAAGCTTGTCCAGTCACAACGGGATCGTTAAGGAACTGAATCTACATCCCCGAAGCAAAGTTTTTTTTCCCTTTCAGAACAAGACCAATAATAACCCCCACCGAACCTATGACTGGAAGGCAATGGGGTGGAGAAACATATACTCTATAAGCCATTCTGGTTTCCTGGGATAAGAACAGTTAGATACGAAGTTTCTAGTCATGATCTTGTTTCTAATATTCTCTACAGACCTCAGAGTTAAATACTTTAGGCCCTTTCTGGTCCACCATACCTGCCCTCCTTAAAACCATAAAATACGCTTGCTAAACCCATGGAATGTAACACTTTTTAAAAAAAACTTTTAAAAGTATGATATTCAAAACAGGTGTTCTGCACCTTTTATGTGCTCTATAAAAACTCATTTTACAAAAATTGTGCTAGAGTGGTCCATAAAAAGTCTAATTTAAAATATGTACATTCTACACTGTACATTCTTTCTTCTTATAGTGATTAAATAATACCCATCACACACACTCTTGCTCTTTATCCGTGATCCCAATGACAGATCAACCCAGCTTACCACTGCTCAGAAACAGAATGTTCTTCCTTAGTTTTGTTTTTTTTTTAATCCCAACCACCTTATTTTCCACTGGGAAGTATCACCTTAACTTTTCAGTACCTGCAGCACTTCTACCTGGTTGGGAAGGGCAAATCCTCTGTTTATTTACGAGATATTTAAGTGTGATAATGGCACGTTTTGGGAGAATAGGCAGCCTTCCTCAAGCCCTGACGCTTGTGCGTCCTTGAGATTCTGCAGTCCTTCGCGTTTCAGCAAGAAAAGTTGAGCCTCTGTAACTTGGACCCTTTTTAGCTTTTGATATCATCATCCTTTATGAATTTGAATCCTGAAGGTGCTTCATACAGACTCTCCCCATCAGTGCTGAAATCGTCGTCGTCGTCATCAAGATCACTCAGCATTTTACTTGAGGTCTTTTTGCGCCTGAAAAAGGAAAATTATTAAAATAATTAGAGAGGAGGAGGAGGAGGAGGAGAAAAAGAAGAAGAAGGATTTTTTACTACATGGAATGCCTGCAAACCACTTGGTCTTCCTCGAAGACACCCTTTGATTTGGGTGGGTGTCCTCCTGTGCCTGCAGAGACCTGGAAGAACCTCTAAACGGATACAACTGGCACCTCGACTGCTTTGTCAACTATAAGAAACTGCGAGACGCCCAAACGTGCCCCGCAGTCCTTGGAGCCGTACATAAATGTACGTAAACGTCTTCTTTTCCCAAAGCAAGAGTTTTAGCAATTCAGCATCCAAAGGTTCTGGATCGATGCCCCAATCTCGCCTGTTTCTAAAAGAAAACCTGAAAAGGCTGGTTTGGTCTTGCTTCGAGGAAAGCACAGAATCGCTTGGGGAGAGGAATCCAGCGCAAGAGCCATGCAACTCCACCCAAGACCAGGGCCATGCTTGCTGTCTGCGCCCTTGGCAGAAGCCCTCGGACGCAGCAGCACAAGGAGGAAGAGGAAGGGGGAAAGGCGCTGGCTCGGAGAGACAAAGCCACACGGGAAGCCTGCAGCCTTTTGGAGGAGCTTGGGACGGCTGGGCCACCACTGGGTGAGGGACCCGGTGCTTCGAGGCTCCCCACGTCCCACCTGAGTTCCTGCCGGAGGGCATTCAGCTGTCCTTGGAGTTGGTCATTCAAGTCAACTTGCTCTTCCAGCTCCCTCTGAAGCTTCTTCTTCCCGCTTTCCAGCCTGTCTATTTCTTCTTCGGCTTCTTCCACTTGACGTTTCATTGCTTTCAAACGCAAACTCAGCTGTGAAAGAAGAGGGGCCCGTTAGAGCTTGGAGGGGGGGGATAACGCCATTCCTCTCCCGTGAGTCATGGCAGGAGCTGTGGGGGAGCATCCTTGCCTTCACAAGAGCAATGAAATCACAACAGAGAGACAGAGAGAGAGAGAAGGGGGCGAAATCTGAAACCCTGACCCTGTGCCTTCAGACTGCCGCTCAGGCACATTTTGCAAGAAAACAGTTGTTGCTTGCAGAAAAGAAAGCTTTGCTTGGTGTAAAAAAGGTAGGTATATGCATTTCCTGGTGCCTCCTACAAGCCTCATCTGCTGGTTAGTACTGGGAAGAATGGCCAGGCGGGCACATTGCTGACCCAGAGGGGTTTTTGCAGGAAATACGTGGCCCAGAATACGTCCCCCCAGGTCACCTCGTCTACAACGATTTACCTGCTTCTGTTTTGGGGGGGGTGAGCAGAGAGAAAGGCAAGTCTTTGGGGGCCGGAGGGCTGGCAGGGGCCAAGTGAATGGGAAAGAGGGCCCAACAGCCTGGGAACCCCGATGGTTGGAAACTCTCTGGCCAGCCCTGCTGCAGGAGGAGGAGGAGGAGGAGGTCAGAGGTCAGAGAGGCCGCCCTGGCTTGGACAGGACCGACATTTATTGAAGACTGCCGCCATCAGGCTAGGGCAGCTTAAGGGGGGGGGATGAAGTCTCCCCCCTCTCTCACATACACACATGCACACTGCTGTTAGTGGGGATGGGACTGCCGAGGCAGAGGCCCCCTTTCTCACAGCCAGCCACATTATTCTCGGCATGCGCCTTTTTTGCAATCCTGCACCTGGAACCTCCCGGGGATCAACCAGGAGGTTTCGGTGGAAAGTGATTCCCAGCTGACGGGTTGTGCATTTTCCCCTTTCCGGGGCTCCTCCTGCCCGCGGGCGCTTTGCAAGAGAGATCAGCCGGCTTGAGCCGTTGCCCCACAGGGCCGGCTGCCGTGGGCTCAATGGATGCTCGGCCGGGACCCGCGAGGCCGTTTCAAAGGGCCCTGCTCCAAGAGGCTTTTCGATTTTGTTTCCACTTTGGTACAGAGGGGGAGAAAGCAGGGATCTGTGCATTTCTAAAAACAGCTAAGGACAGGAAAAGGCCTCGTCTACAGCATTTTTTTTTAAAAGCAAAGAAGAGGGGGGTTCCAAAAGTATGGAAGCTGTTTGATAGTAGGTAGTATTTGTTATGGTTTTAGGGGTATTGCCTGCCACCCTGGAACTCACTTAGAGCCAAAGGGCAAGACGTAAATGTTATGTCGACGCTACCTGATCCTTCTGGTCTGTTAAGGAGAGATGGTCGTCATCAACCTGCATCATGAGCTCCTTAACTTTCCTTTCAAGCCGACGGTTACTCATCTGCAGGTTAGCCCGATCCCTGGCAAGACAAGGACACACACGCGTGAGATGAACAGGAACTGAGTAGGAACCTAGGAGCCGATACCCTGGATCAGGGCCACAATAGCCCCGGCTGACTGTCTTCTTGCCTCCTTCCCACCCAACGAACCCCCCGATGCCTCCAAGTCGCCCGCAGGCCCTCCCCAAAAGGTCTTTCCCGGCGCCTGATCAGGAGACGCTCTCTGCCTCTGAACACGGACTCTCCATTTATACTGTCTCCTGCATCTCTGGGGGATCTCGGCTGGTGGTGGCAGTCTTTTTATTGCCATTTTTTCCACTCCTTTAAAATACTATGAACGATTTTGAACGCTTCTTGAGGGACAGAAAAACGGGAGCGGGAGTGGCTCCCTTGCAGACCACATGCTCTGCAGGCAGAAGGTCCCCGATGCCATCCGCCAGCATCCCCAGACAAGGGTCTGGGAAAAAACACCCCTGCCTGAAACCCTGGAGAGCAGCGGCCGCTCAGGTGTGACAACCCTGGGCTACATGGGCCAAGGTCCGGGCTGATGGGAGGCAAGGAGAAGATTGGGGTGGGGGTGACTGTGTTTCTTTTTTAAGCAAGCAGGGATTCCTGAGTCTCCAGGCTTCAGACGGCGGGCCCCTGAAAGTCGCTCGGCGCCCTGGGTTGATGCCGGCTGCGCCAGGTCAGCTCACCTCTCTTCATTCTCCAGCCGCTCCTCCAGTTCCATGACCCTTGTTTCCATCTGAACGAGGAGCCCTTCTTTGCTGGACCTGTAAGAGCCTTCAAGGTGCATGATCCGGCTTTTCAGGTCTTTGTTCTGGAGTAAGAAGAGGAAGAGTTTACTAAATACATTAAGTCTGTGGACCAGTTAACAAAAACAACTAGCCCCAAATACGTGGGCGCTAAAGAGGCCACAGACAGAAATGCAGGGTTCTGTGTGCAGACATAATTCCATATCATACCCGTCATCATCATGACAGCAACGCTAATAATGTGGGTAGAACGTGGGTGAAGCTTTTATATACATTCCAAAGCATGCAAGCCAGGGGGACTAAGTGGAGGGACAGAAATTCAGAGCAGAAATTCTGAGGAAGGGAGGCCCCCTCCACCGCTGGGTGGCGCTCTGTGCCTTAAGTCGTAAGCGCGCTCTGGGATGGCTGGGAGTGCGTTCTTTGTGCCTCCTTTTCCACCTCCCCAAAGCTGTCCGCAGTCATCCCTGCTGCCTGCCCTGGAAGGAGGCCCTGCCTCTTCATCCTGGCAGGGTTGGGCGAGTCTACGGACACCCAAGTGACAGTGGGGAGGCCTTTCAAACACACTTTCTGGGTGTTTTCCTTGAACATCCCCCCCTCCCACGGCTCAGCTCAGCTCTGAGGTCCGAGACTATCCCCAACCAAGCAAACCTCGCACACAAAGCAAAGCCCCAGTTCCTACCTGCCTTTCCAGAGATATCTTGTCACACTCAAGATCCTGTCGCGTAGACCGTTCTTGAAGCAGTTCGCTTCTCATTTGTTCAATCTGCAGTTAAAGATGAAAGGTGGGGGAGAGAAAGCGAGTGTGTCTGAACATGTGAAATGCATAGGTCACGTGTTCAAGCCATGCAACAGAAGTAAAGTATCAGCTTCCCTTCCCGCAGCGGCCAAGTGGGCGCCTGAGGGAAGCCCACAAGCCGTGCACAGCCAATTTTGTGCGGGCGCTTTCCTGGAAAGGCACCCTGACCCAAGACAATCACGAAGGTGACAAGAGACGGCGGCCGTGACGAGGAGCCACTGGCATCTCTGAGCGCCATCGATTTGTCAAGCTAGCCTTTAATGCGGCGCAAATTGGCCCCCGTGCCATGTTCTGCAGCATGCCTCACACTCGTTGAAAGGTTGACTGCTCTGGAAATGACGTCTCCATCCAAACAGGCCCCAAGCACAAGAGATAACAACGCGCTGGAGATGCAGGTCCTCCTAACACAACTTCCAAGCACCAGAAACGGCCTGCATTTATGCTGCTATCTGGGCCCTGGGCCCTTCGCTGGAGCGTCCACTATCCTAGGTCTGTCCTTTTCGAGGCCCTGTGAATTTTCACACAGAAAATTCAGCTGTAGCTGTTTCGGGGCGGGGGGGGGCAGACAAAATTCTGAAGAGGAAAAAATGAATGAGTACTAATACAAGATGCAGCTCTTAAAGGCAGGAAGTTGGTGGAGCACGTTGGATGTCACCGGTTGCTCACCTTGTGCCGCCGTGTCCTCCAAAGCGGTGGGAAACGTGGGCAGCTATCGCTGTTGGTCGCATAGGAAGGACGGGGGCGAGGGCGACCAGAAGGGCAATGGCACCTGCCGGCTCTTGCCGAAATACACCCGCAAGGAGAAGGGGCGAGACCGAGCTGCACCTGGTGGCACCCATCGATACAAAGTCCCAGGGGCTGCGGACGTTTGGTGTCAGACCAGAGAGTCTCACCCAGAGCTCTGCAGCTCATTCACCCAAGGGGGGGGGCATTGCACTGGCACTCGACTCGCGCCCCCCCCCGAGTAGGACTAAGGGATGGCGAACCAGGGCGCTCTTGGCCTGCTGCTCCCTGTGGCTGGTTCTGGGCTCCGGTTCAGGGATTGGGATCCTTGGTATCAGAGCCTCCTACGACAGGGTTGCCTCGGTGGGGCTTCGTAGCAAGGTGGAGGCGTTGTCTCCCTGTGGTCCCAATCCGTTTCTTGTCTGCATCCCGCTCTCTTGGCACAGGTGGGTCTTCCCAGCAGCTCTGGAGGCGGACCGTCTTGGCCGGTGCTCCTGCCTGCCTCTCTTTGAGTGGGGAGCAGGTCGGGCGCCCCATCTCCCTGGGTGGCACATCTCGGCTTTTTCCTCTGGCCCTCCCCAAGGCGCCTCAGGTCTGGTAATCCCATTACGAGTAGACGCTTCCAAAGGGCTGTTTCAGGCGGCAGCCGCCCTGAAGTCGCAAAGACGATATTGCGGGCAGCGAGAGCCTTAAACTCAACAAAGCTTTCTTCCTGAGCTGTAGATAGCAGCCCCCCCCCCACCTTTGGTCATGTATAATGGGGAGCAGCTGCAGAATCGGCTGTCAGGGGGAAGTAATTTGATTTCTAATAATAGCTTCAAGACAGCTGCAACCCATCGTCCTTCTTCCTCCCCCCCCCCCAAGATACACGCGTGGCTCGCTCCTTCTTCAGAAAGGGAAAAACTGGAGGGGAACGAAGCCTCCCTGCTTCCTTCTGCTGAGCAGGCTGACTCAGCAGAAAGGCTCATCGGCTCCATCCAGGGAGCCAACAGAAACGTGGTTGATGCCACGCCAGCCAGGAAGGAGCCTCCGCCTCCCGCATCTTCCTCGGCCTGTTCGGCACACCTGAGCCGCGCAAGGAGCAGGTGTGCGTGCCATCCACGGGGACCACTTCGCCAAAGGAAATGAATGACACTGCCCCTATAGAACTTCATCCTTGGCTCATTTACCCTGCCAGTGCCATGGAAACCCGTTCTTCTCACACAGTTACAAGGAGCTGCTTTGAAGCCCATTCATTCATTCGCGGAGTCTGGTTCCTGACACACACACACACCAGCTTCTGTAGCTGCTGCAGCTCACGAACAGGCCAGGGCCCTCAACGGGGGCTGTTGAATGTCAGAAAGGGCAGGAGAACCAGTGGAAGTTGAGCAGGCATCAAGAAAACGTTGCTGGGCGCTGGAGAGGGGCTGTCTGACCTCATGGCCCAAGGGAGCTGCTGGGAGCAGGCCAGGCGAGGCTCCTTCCCGCCCGCAGCAAGAACGGAGTGCTCTGCAAAGACTAGAGAACGGAGGCCGGGGAGGCGGACTGAGACAGCCGTCACTTCGGACGGACCGCAGGCACTTGGGGGCAGAGAGGAGCCAGAAGGGGCCGGCCGGCAGGGGGGTTTGCATGCCTCACGGCAGGCTGGACCAAACTGGATCAGAGCCATCCTGGCTCCCCTTCTGTGGCAGCATTCTTCCTTGCCGTGGAAGGGAGTAAATGCAAAAACACCTCATGGCTCCTCAGACACAACCAGAGGGGCTTTCACTGTCGAAATATCTCATCAAACCTGCGACGCAGCCTCTTCTATGTCATGCTAGTCCCCTTCGTTTTCGAATTTCAAGGGTCTGCTCAGTTGGCAACCTTCACCGTCCGTGTTGACCACAACAAAGCCATTATTATTCCTCACCTTTTTATGAATGCTTAGCAGACCCTGAAAGAGCTTCCTGGGAACCCGTCCATCCCTCGGCCATCTCCTCGTGGACTCAGAACAAAGCGGCCTTTGTCAGGCCGTGGATGAAACGGAGGGGCTCCAGAACCTGTCAGGCAAACACCTATTTTGCCCCTGGGCCAACTTTCCACTTACATAAGAAGATGGTCGGGCAATCTCGCTTCGTGGTTCCTTAAAAGGTTCGCAGCACAAGGACGGCTGGATCTTCAGATGGCCGTAAAGATTTCCTCCGTCCCACTTTTGGAACAGGCCGCAGTTCTAAGGGCCGAACCCTGCCTCGCAGGCCCCCAGATGTTTGCAAGCTCTTTGCACTCTGCAGTCCCGCAGAGGCTATGGGCGGCCAGGAGCCTTCATGGCACAGCGAGTCGGCTCACCGGCCACCGACTTGAAGAACTCCCCAGCACATGACCTCGGGTGGCTCTAGCACCGGACACTAGACCCGTTCCTTCAAGAGCAAGCTATTAAAAACGAGAACTGAAGGAAACTTCCAGATTCAGTGGCAGGGCGAGTCTCTCTGAGCCCCTGACCTTGGGGGGGGGGGGGACAGCTTGTCTACTCCCAGGAAGCGCTTGGCTGACCCACATGAGGCACATGAGGTGATCCGATTCAGTAGGGCCGTTCCCAGGTCCAAATCCTTTACTGTACCTTCAAAGCACTGAACAGCAGAAAGCACAGCAGAGCGAGATCTCCAAGCAGAGAAATGATGCACACTTTGCCACTGTGTGGAACAACACGGTGTGCTCGGTGCGTTTGTGCACGGGACAAGCAAAACAGAAAATATGTCACTGAGATGCGGCATGGTGTTGCCGTCGCCCTCCCTGGCCCTGTCCACCTAAGTTTGCTGACTGGTGTTTGGAAGACGCGTGATATTCCTGACCAGGTCCTGGACTCAGTTTCTCATTTGGGCCACAAAGCTCACAGTAAACCATTCCTGTTCTTCCAGAGCTGCTGAGAGGACAACAACACCAGAGAAGTCACACCTATGCGCACATGCACACACACCCCACACCTCTAAGCTTCTTGGAGGAAGGCAAAAGTTGAAGAGAATGAACAGAGGACCGACTGAGTTCAGAAAGGAGCCGTCCCTGGATACTGGCTGATGGCTTGTGCTCAGAGAAATCCAGAGAGAGAGAGGCCAGCAATTCGCCCACGTTATCCCTTCCACCACAACTAGCCACGACACGGAATTCATCCAGGTCCAGTACCTGTTCTCTGCCTCGGTTGATCCTTTCAGACAGGATATCTGAATTGCTTCGTTCTTCTTCGAGTTCTTGTTCCAGCTGCGACACCTTCTCCTAGAAGGGGATGAAACAACACCGGCTCAACCACAAAGGCTGCTCGGAGCAGAGCTACCAAGCCATGCTTGTTTCATGTGACCCACGACGAAGGGGTTGAAGAAATCCACATTAAGGGGGGGGGCTAACCTCAGAACATGTGGCTTTCCAGATGTTCTTGGACAGCAACTCCTATCAGCCTGAGCCAGCCTGGCCAAGGACCACGGATGGCCACCCTAACGCAATAACATCTGGAGGGCCAAAATGTTCTCTCCCCCTCCCCTGGTTATAAAAGAAGGCCAGAACGCTACCTGCCGCCTGGAAAGAAACAAAGAGGAACTCTTGGGGGGGGGGGAAGATCCGGCCAAACGGGTCCTTCTTTATCTTTGAGAATGTTTCCAGGACGGCCCAGAAATCACTTTAAAGGAAGCCAAGGATAAATCCAGGTTGACAGGGGAGGTTGCACTCCGTCCCTTGAAGCTCGCCTTCGCACGTGTGCGTGCAAAAGAGAGCCACGCCCCCCCACCTGTACCCCCGGGCCCCCTTCCTCTTCTTCTACCTCCATTATCTTGGCTTGTCTTGCCCGGTCTTCTTTTATGTGGTTCTTGGCTTCCAGTTCATATTCCAGGGCTTTGACGGTCTGCTCCAAAAGTTGTGTCTTTGTGATCGCCTCGTCCTGAGCTCTCTGGTGATCCCGTAGTTCTTCCTCCATGAAACGCACCTGGAGCAAAGGAAAAGGTGAACCCGACGCCATCTAGAGAGGGTTCCAGTCAACCACGTCTGCTTTGCCAGTACCTTGAAGCTACACAAGACTTCTAGAGAAAGACAAGGCTGCGAGGAGGCAGATGCAAAGGATGGAATTATCCTGCATGTTACAAATATGGATTCATGGGCCTTTGCTGTTCCTGAATGTGCAGCTTTAAATTTGGAAAGGGCCACTGGGAGCCTAGAAGGTGACTATTCCATCTTGCCCGAGACTAGTAGCCTGCAGCAGCAAGACAAGAGAGAGAGAGAGAGATGTTCCATTTTTTAGGGGGGGGAGACAGTCTTAATAAAGAAGACGAAGAAGACGAAGACGAAGACGAAGACGAAGACGAAGACGAAGACGAAGAAGAAGAAGAAGAAGAAGAAGAAGAAGAAGAAGAAGAAGAAAAGACAACTGCAGAAATAATGTGCTTCTGCTTTCACATGCTGGCTACCAGGGGCCACATTATGGAACAAAAAGCACCATCCAAACCAACACACAGTCCCTCTACCACTGAGTAACCACACGCACATTGGTCTGTGATATTCAGTAAAGGGATGAGAAGAGAGTAGCAGGAGAGGTGAGAAAAGTCAAGGTCTTCTAACTGAGTCTACAGCCCTAACTGAACTAAAGAACAACCTTGGTGTCTACTATGAGTGGCTTTTAGTGTCATGAACTGTGTAGGTGTTTTAGGGTGACTGTGAAACCCCCACTTGGGAACGGCCTTGAAAGACAGGACCACTTCCTAGCTCCGCCTATAAACTGGACCCTACATGTCTCATTTGTGGATGCCGCTCTAGGAGGTGGCCCATCCCCGCGCACAAGGGCAAGGTGGAATGACCGAAGCCATGGCTTAGAAACAGACGGGCTGTCTGTGAACCTTAAACATTAAGGCAGCCGTCTCTCTTTCCCAGCGGTCTGTGTGGATGACCCTGGGTAACTGTTTCAACCCACAAGATGACAGCTCCTCACTCTCTTTGGGAGAAGGCAGGTTGGACCTCTTCAGACCTCTTTTTTTTTTTTTTTGAAAAAATTGGAACTATATACTTTTGCAGTTTAACATATCCTTCCATAACACGGCCGTCATTCGGAACTGTGATATAGAAATCCTTAATATATATAACTATGTGATTCTTTCCGGCCAAGTGTTAAAAGAGCGCCATCTGGTCCGGACCCATTACCTCCTCCTGCAGTTTGAGGGCTGCCAGGCGTGCCTTTTCTAGCTCCAGGTTTTTATCTTCCAGTTGCCTCTGCAGCTCCGCAAGATCCCGGCGGTTCTTCTCCTTGTATCCATCGAGCTGGTTCTGGAGCTCCAGGGTGGATGTCCGCGAGACCTCTATAATTTCTGCCATCTAGCAAAATGGAAGGAAGGCATTTAAGAAGGCAGAGAAGGTTCCCAAGGTGTCTCTGGGTGGGAGCATCCAGGAGGATACCTTGGCGAAGGTGTCGCACTTTGAAATGCTTTGGGCAACTTACAGAGGTCCTGAAAGAAATCTGCCAGCTTATGTAAAGCTACGCAGTCACCCTTGTTTGTCCCGATGCCGTGCCCCAACTTCATCTCGGGCCTCATCCAGAACCCCTTCCTTCAGGCTTAAGTGGCCAACCTAACTGAGGAACGCTGGGAGGTGCGGTTCAGACAGAGGTGACATGTCAGGTAACCCTGAACCCAGATCAGCCGGCTGCCTTGGCAATGAAGCCTCTTGCATGAGTTGCTGTGGCTTTAAGGCCTGAGAATCTTCCGGGGCCTCCGAGGGATCACACACATTTCCGTGCAAAGTTCACATTTCCTTTTCATTTGCACCCTTTTCTTTTCCTTCTGCCTTTTCCGGCCATTCTTTTGTACAGTTTGGCTTTCTGTTTCCTCCCCGGCCCGGCTCTTGATATTTGATCTTCCACCAGCTCTTACCTCCTTGTGTAACTTCTCAATAGTCTTGTCCAGTTGCCATCGCTCATTCTCCAGTTCGCTCCTCATCCTCTTTAACTGATCCTTCTCGTTGGCTTCATCTTTCAGCCGGTCAGTTAACTGTTGCTGCTCCTGATTCAGCTGACCGATGTGCTTCTGCAGCCCGCCACCAAAACAAAGCAAAAAAACAAACAAAAAAAAGGGCACTCCATGAAAAACGAAGGATGGCGCGGATTTTTTTGATTCAGCACATCCGATTCTATCGAGCAAATTGTAACCCCGTGTAGTAGAGAAAGGAACGTATGAGGTAAGTTCCTTGGGACAAAGGTGTGCGTTTTTTACATGGCTTTTGGCAATGCAATAAATATTTCAAGGATCAAAGGCACGAGAAATGAAAGAACTGCAGGATACAAACTGCATAGCAAAGTGTGCACAACCACGGGGGGTGGGGGGAGAGAGGGAGGCGTAACGGTGGAGAAAGGAGCTATGGGAAGCACTTCCAGCATCTTCGGATCATTAATAGCTATACAGTAGTTCCTTGCACACTTGTTTGACATGGAAGTTCCGAAGACTCCGCAGTTCACAGCCTGAGCGGAATGCACCTCTGAAGCCTGGAATCGCTCTTTAGGGGAAATGGCGATCAGCGTCCTAAAACCTCGGAGGCGGCCTGGCATTAAAAGCTGCCACGGTGGTGCTTCCGTGTGGTCGTTTCTGAAAGACCTGCCAGGGTGCTGCATCCCGAACCACTTCGGCAGAAACCACCCACCCACCCCAAACCCATCCATCGTTCACAGGCCATTTCCCTTGACTGTTTGTTGACCCCTTCTTGCAAAACGGGGCAGAGGCTCAGATCAGAGGGGAGTGAACGGGGCAGGGGCGACGATCCGCAGGGCGGGATCAGGCAACCTGCGTGCAGCTCACAGACCTGAGGGTGCCAGGAGGCAGCAACACCAGTGGAACAACATCCTCCGGAGCCAGGGAGGAACCGCACCGCCTTCACAAGAAGGCCAAACACCGGAAGAGCAGGCCCTGACAGGAGCCAGGCAGCAATTACTCCTACTCACACAGCGCTCTGTTTTCTTGTCTGTGTGATATAGTCATTCCCGAGAAACACAAGTGGCTGATTTAACGAGCGCAAACCAGTCTATTTTTAAAGGCAGCTACCACAAGGGGGAGAGAAAACAATCATTACTGCTGGAGCAGTAATTTCGGAAGACCCGCCACTCCTTGCAGGGGGATCCCATACATGAAGATGGGCAGCCCTTCCGTGAGGGCAGGTGAGCTCAAAAAGGGGCCGCGCCACTCCCCTCCTCACCTGCGCGTCCTCCAGCTGGGCTTCCAGGGAACTCTTGGCCAAGGCCAGCTTCTGCGCCTCTGCGTCGGCACGTGCCAGGGACTCTTCCAAAGCTTGCTCCTTTTCCTGCCACAGAAGACTCAATGAGATGGGAAGGGGCAGAGGCCGCCGCCCGCATCCCACCTGGCCCCCTCCCTGAGAGCCTGTGCTCGGCGTTGTCCTTCCCTAGGGTCTGCTTTGGGGTGTGTGTGTGTGTGTGTGTGTGTGTGTGTGCATCCCTGTTGTTCAGACCTCTTAAGACTCATGGGCTTGCCTGGAGTGGATCTATGGGCTGAGAGGTTCCCCCCTCCCCTTCCCGGTCTACCTTTCTGCCCAGTTCCTCCGGCCCTCCCTGTCGTTCAGACCTCTTAAGACTCATGGGTTTGCCTGGAGTGGGTCTCTGGGCTGAGAGGTTCCCCCCCTCCCCTTCCCAGTCTACCTTTCTGCCCAGTTCCTCCGGCCCCCAGCCATCGGGCGAGGAGCGCTTTGCAAGCCTCACTGCGACCCTGCAGAGATGACCCAGGTCCTGGCCGACCGGAAACGCCTTGGGCGGGAACCTCTCTGAACCTCTGAATTGTCAGCTCGGACCCTCCTCCAAGAGATGGGCTGCTAGACGTCAGGTAGGGAGGTAGGGGGTCCCCTGAAGGAGGACCGGATCGGCCAAAGCTCCCGGCATCTGGAAAACTCTGGCCGGGTCGCGTTGCCAGAGGCTGCGGGCGCTCCGCAAGGATGGCTTCCTCAGCCTGGCTCGCGGACTAGCCAGCGGGGGGCCTTTCCCCAGCCCCCCCCCCAAACCGCTTGCATCTCCTGCCAGAAGGAGGGAGGCTCAGCTGAGCCAACCCAAAGGACTTTGTCGCTCTGCATTTCGTGGCCGCCGTGGCCAGCCAGACACCCACGAAAGCCCACGGGGGCTGCAATGGCAGCGTGGCCGTTGCACCTCCCCTGCACCAGAGGCGAGCCATCCTGCCGCTTCTGGAACCCGAGGGACCGCCAGCCACTCAAAGCCCCATCATTCTTCGTGACTTTCCCCGATGCCCCTTTCAAGGGGCCAAAGCTGGCCACCTTGGTGACTTGGCCCTGCCGGCTTCATTGTTTTTCCCCCCCCCCGCATTGTTTCTATGCAACCCGACGGCCTCGCGAGGAAGGGCAAGTGATGCACCGAAGAAGGCAAATAATGGGGCAAGCGCTTGTTTCCCCTCCTCCTCCTCCTCCCCCTCTTCACGCCGCGCGATGTTCTGCCAGCCCCGAGCACCCCCGCGGAGGCCGTGCTGGGGCCGAGCGCTCAAGTCTCACCCGAAGCCGCCTGGCCTGTCGGGTCCCTTTGCCAGGGCTGGGCCTTGGGGTCTCACCTGGCAGCCCTTCAGCCTTTCCTCCATGTGCCCTCGGTCCGCTTTTAGGCTCCCGAGCTGCTGCCAGAGATCCTCCCGTTGGTTTTCCATCTCCGCGAGGGATCCCTTCAGCTGCCAGTTCTGCTCACTCAGTTCCATCGCTTGACCTTCCGCGACCTTTTGCCTTTCTTCAGAGGCAGCCTTCATGGCGGACAGGGCCTCGGCTCTCTAGGAACACAACACAGGATGTGGCTCAGGAAAAGACGGGACATTAAAGACCGCACGATTCTCCTCTGAGACTCAAGATCGGTCAAATTAGGGTTTCATATTGCAACACCAACTCCCCCCCCACGCCACCCCGAATCTCTCTCGCCATCTGTGTCCCTCCAAAGTGGCGCCAGCCTCCTCCAGAAGGGGCGAGGGACACGGATGAGACGGGATGCCCTTTCCCGGCAGTGCGTGGGCCGAATACACCAGGTCAGAGGCTGTTCTCAGTCTGCTGGGATGTCAGCAGTGGGGCCACTTTTGTTCCCGACCGAAGGGACCCTTCCTCTCCGGCTGCTGCAGAAAGTCAGGCTCTCTCTCACACAAGAGGTAGCAAGCTTTTTCCCCTGCTGTCCAGGCAGCAGGGCCTGAAACCAGGGTTTCATAACAGCTGCGCATGGACCAGATGAGCCGTTGGGTCCTTTCTTCTCCTAGAACTCTCTGATTCCTGGAAAGGCTGACCAAACGGAAGGTTTCGCCCTGGAGGAATGGCTCAAAACGAGGCACGCCAGAGGACACCGAAGAGGGCAGGAAAAGGGGACAAGTCAGCCCTTCGGCCGGAGATGGCGGTTCATTTCGATCTCCCCGTTCCTTGCTGATGGACTGCTTTGGCCTTAACAGGGCAAGGGGCTTACCCACCTTGTAAGATGAGTTATACTCGCCATGCAAAGCCTCTCCTTTGCATCAACATCCCTAACCATCAATCAGCACAGAGTGCCAAAGGAAGAGGACCTCAATTAAAGTTCTACTTGTTCTTACATCAGCACAGAGTGCCAAAGGGACCTCAATTAAAGTTCTACTTGTTCTTACACATCTCTTGTATACAGTTCCTATCAAGAGTTAGAGAAAGCGGTGTCCAGTATATGGCACATCTTTGATGAGCCACCTTCCCCCAACCTGGTGCCCTTTTAAACACAATTAAGTGGGCTGAAGGCCTTGCTTTGATCCCAAAACTGTGCAAGAACAGTTACCCAAAAGCGTTTGTCTCCCTTCCCCACTCTTTGGGGGGAATCGTACCTTCCAGACCGAAGACTTTTGATTTAAATTACAAATCAGCTGGACAGGTTCGACCAGAGGACCACAGATAGCGAGCAACGTAACAAGAAAGATAAGATCGGGTGGCTTCTGCTGTCCAGAGGCTCATAAGGGCTGCCAAGTGGAGAGTTCTCCTCATTAGCAAAGGCTGCAGAAAGGGCCTCCCTCCCGTCTGGCCTCTCGCTTTCGCTCCCTCTTTGACAGAAGCCCCAGAGAGAGAGAGGGGCTCCTCTGTGAATGGGATCGTTACCCACTCAGCTGGCTCCCACTGACATCTCCTTCAAGGGGCCTCAAGGGGTAGGGTTTCTGTGTGCCATCAGCTGGCATGGGAGTAGGTAGCAAGAGCCCCTCCAGGAGACCCCACGTGGCCCAGGGCTTAGCAAAAGCTCTCCGGAGACCTCCAGCAGCCTGGCCCCCGTGGTGCTCTGGGACCAGCAGTCCAAGGAGAGAAACTTCTCTCTTGAGGCTGGATCCCTTCTGGTCTGCAGGTGGACCGTTTCAGGACCAGGAAAGAATCGCATCTCGAGAAAGGTGTCCGCATGACAGCAGGGTTGGGGTCAGAAAGAGGCTGTCTGGAGACGCATCCCTTTGTAACGCAGCCACAAGGAAAACATGTCCGTGGCCGCTTTCTGGATGGGTGGCCAGGAACACGGGGCCCACTGGCCAGAAGCTGGCACGGAGGGCGCCTATGGTGGACACCAGTCGATGCAACCTGTGTCTCATTTCCTGGCGAAGGCCTTAAACTGAAGGGAGCAAGACACAGCGGGGTGGGGTGGGGGAAGTGGGGCAGAAGAAAACTGATGGAGAAAGGCCCCGGGCCTGCCCTCTTCCGTGTTCATCAGCCTCAAACCCCCTCCATGCCAATTAGTCTTCTGTGTTCTCCTGCCCCTTCCAGCTCTCCTGGAGCCGATCGGGAAGAGCCTGCCAGGAAAAAGGAACAAAATAGGCTGTTCTTTAAAAAGAACCATGCTCGGAAACATGTTCCAAGCATCACAGCCCCCCCCCTTCAAACACTATTTAACATCACGAGGCTGGAGGCAGAGGGGGAGCAGGGAGGGTGTGTGAGTAAAAGCTTGTCTGCGACAATCCCGAGCGAGCGGTGTGACCGGCACTCAGCCACGTCCCAGTGTCCTTGGCCACTCTACAAAGGTGACACTTTCGTTCCAACGAACTGGCCTCTAATGAGTTCTCCCCTGTGCCCTGGGGAGCACAAAACCCTCTCCCAGCTTCTACCTTCGGGGACGAACGGCTTCTGTTCCCTCCCTCTCTTCTCTTCAGACCAGTTGACTTGCTGGGGTACGTGCCTGTGTGTGTACACTTCATGAATATTCTGCGCCATGGACACACACATATCACACTTGGCTGTTAATCACTCCTCGATGATTTCTTGTAACCTATATTGCTAGTGCATGAATGTCAAAACAAGAAATCTGTAGCAATTGCCTAATTTCCATCTCCAACACTCACTTGTCTTACATATTTATTTATTTATTTTTTTCATATTCTGGCTTCTTGTTCTCAGAAGATTCCAATGGAAACGACTCATCTAATTTTTAGAAAATGACAACATGAAGCTATTTTGGAAAAGATGGGAGGAAAAAAGCAACACAGCGAAATCCTCAGACCAGCGGAGCTGAAAAGTGGTCAAGAATAACGACAACGTGCCATCAAAAACTCCGCCTGCAGAATTTCAAAGACGGCATGTGATCTGGAGAATTTCTTGGTTATTTTTTTTTTCTTTTCCCTCCTCACCTGCAATTTCACAGTGGCTCTTCTCCAAGAGTTAAAATACAAGCAGTCCTGTCAACACACAGGGCACAGAACAGCATCGGGAGAACTGGTTGGGTGAGATTCCCACAGTCCAAGTCACCCGCTCCCCTATCCAGACCGACCTGCTCAGGAGCACAACAGGCAGGAAACCCTTAAAGGGATCCCTCTAGGGCCAAGCCTACATGGCCTTGAATTCCAGCTGTTTGCACGACTGGGGACTGCCGGAAAGGGGAAGAAGGCAAATGGGGAGGGCAGGGTTGTCCAGCAAGCACACTGTATGGGCAGCACCTGGCCCAGGTGTCAAGAAAGAGGCTCTTCCAAGGGAAGCACAAGGCGCCGTTGGGCTGGGCTGGGCTGGGCTGCAAGACAAGCGCTGGGGCACCCCTCGTTTTGTATCTCTTCCCTCTACACGCATTCATCCCCAGAGGAAACTGCCCCCCACCCAAAATGCAACGCAGGGAAGGCGGGACGGAGGGACCCCGCTCAAAGGCTGGCTCAGCCACACGCTGCTCACCAGCCCCACAAAGTCCTCTCTGTTGAGCCACTGCTCTCTTAACCACGAGCGGTGAGGACCTCTCCCAGCTGCAGATCGCGCTGACTGAGAGGGAGAGCCTGCCTGTGAGTTTAGGGCGCCGATCCCCTACAGAGGTCAGGGGGCTTACTTGGAGTAGACAGATGGCCTGTGCTCTCGCACGCCATCTAAAACTCCCCGGTATCTCACTCCGACCTGCAGCAGCAACAAGCGCTTCTCAGGGGTGTCACCCCCCTTTTTGAAATTCAGCAACTTGGTGAAAACAACAATTACCCAGCCACTTGAGTTCATTTTATGGTGCAAGGTCTGTTGGAATTTATACCAAACTGCTTTATTTTGCTGTTTTAAGTAGTTTTTAAAAACCTGTTTCTCTCTTTTATATTCTGTTTAATCTGTTGCTCTTACTATGCTGTTGGTTTACTCTTTTTTTTTGTATAATTTGTATTAGGTGATGGTTACACCTTTAGGAGTTTTTTTTTAATCCCCAGCCTGACATATGGACTATAAACATTCAAAAAAAAGGAGAAGAAAATGCACATGGATCGCATGAAGGGCACAAGGAAGAACTGTGGTTATGATGGAGCCCAGGCTAGCGCACCACGTTCTCCCCAACAGCTTGCAGTGAAGTGGGATCAAGAGCCACAACTGCACCAGGAACCCCAAAGGGGGGGAGCATCGTTTTCAGAAGCAGGAATGACGCAGTGCGTTCCAGGAGCTGCATCCCAAACCGCCCTGGAGCACATGGCGTGGATTGCCTGGCGCAACCCACCGTCTTGCGCTAAGAGTGCACCCACCAGTGAGCACACGATGCCTGACTGCAGAAGCCAACCGAAACACGGTTGCGTTAATTTCTTCCCAATTTCCTCTCCCACCCCTGTTCTTAGACTCTTGCTTCTGAAAGGCCTCCTTTCCTGGTGTCCCTCGTGCAGCAGCCACTGCTGTTCCTGTGACCTCCTGTGATGCGCTGATCAGTCTCGGCTGCAAGAGTTGCCATGTGGCTCAATGCTGCTGACGGCATGAGCGCCACGGCCCCATCACTCCGGGGCAGCTGTTGAATGACACGAAGCGCTACTCACAGCAACCACAATCCTAACCTGTCAGCAGCCAAGCTCAAAGCAAACTTTTAACTTCCTCCTAGCCAGGGACAGCCCAGAAGTTGCCGGCGACATGTTCCCAGAAAAACTTGCTGATGAATGCCTCCAGCGGCTTTAACACTGGATGTAGAATAAGCTGGTTATCTTAACTGGATATATGAATGCGGCCGTCTGGACAGCCGACACCAAAGCACGCAGGCTGGCTTGCTGGGGGAAGCAGTAAAAACCCGCTCCGGTCAGAGCTGGCGACACAAGAGAAGGGGGAGCGCTTCCGTTAAAGACTGCAGGGCTAAAGAAACCAGACATGGATGGATGCAAATGGAAAAGAGGGTAGGTATCAGAAGATGCACAGTTTAGATAAGAGTGGGAAGGAGGTTCAACCGCTTTATTTTAAAACGATTCGATGTGGCCACAGAGAGGCCTGCCCGGCCCTTCTCGGCCTGCCACGTGGCACCTGAAAAACCCATCTGAATTTGGCTTTCTGGTTCAAAATTCCTGGAGAATGGAACCACATTTTCCCTGGGAGTAGATTATGATATACTTAACCTCTTTAACAGAAGGCATGCTAATGACTAACCGTGAGGGCTAGATTAACCCATTTTACCTTAACCAGTTTATCATTCCAGATTACATTTTAGCTATAAAGCAGACCCCGGAATATTCATTGCAACTTCAAAGGCTGCCGGTCTAAATAAGTAAGCCAACACTTCAGGTTTACTCAGAAGTAAAGCTCACTGTTTTCAGTATGACTTCATTCTGAACAAGTGCCCTTGGAATTACAGTTCAAAAAGACTTTGAGCCTAGAGGTATAGAGCACGGACGCAGACATCACAGAATAAACTATGCCCCCCCTTTTTTTCCCAGAAAGAAAGAAAAAGGAGATTAGATTAGGCTGGGCTGGACTGAGCCGACAGGTAAGTCTGTAGATAGGTGACAGATCGACTGAAAGATCAAGCCATCGACAGATGGATGGATGGATGGATGGATGGATGGATGGATGGATGGATGGATGGATGGACGGACGGACACACAGACAGACAGACAGACAGACAGACAGACAGACAGACAGACAGACAGACAGACAGACAGACAGATTAGATCAAGTGTGAGGTGCAAGAGAGCAAGCTGAGGCTGAGGAGGAACTGAGACGCGTGAGGTACAGCTCCCTACGGCTGAGCTGCAGCGCAACGGCACGGACCGCCCGCAAGGCCTCCTAAGAAGGTCTGAGCAGCCCTGCCGGATCAGACACAAGGGCCATCTGCTCCAGCCTCCTGGGCTCAATGGTGGCCAGTCCACAGGGTCCAACAGGAAGCCCAGAGGAAAACACAAAAACGGTTGCCACTCCCTGGCAACAACTAGACCGTGCGCTGTACGCGGTGGCCTGTGGCCTGGGAAAGGCGAGGGTCCGTGTCGCTGCTGTCAGGAGCAGCCACCAGTCAACGTCTCCTCTAAATCGGCTTTGATCCCTTTCGGCGGCTTCATTTGCGCCAAGCAAGAGGCTCTGCTGGGGCCAAGGCAAGATCCATTGCCTCCACCTGGTCTAACAACAGGGCAGACAACACTATTGTCTCGTCAGCGCACTCAGAGACCATCGCTAAACAAAGGGTTCCACCTCCCCGTGTACACAGGCCGCAACACCGTACACAAAAACAGAAGTCAAAGCGGGGAAAGGATTAACTTATCAACAAGTGGTTATTTTTGGGCTGGGTTATCCTCTTAGCAAGCCATTCACCGTGTGCTTGGCCAAGGTCACAGGAATCAAGGAGAACGTTAACTTGCCTTCCGGGCAGTGACCTCGCTCCGACGGGAGGGGTGGATTTTCCTTCCCGCCGGGCATCAGCTTGTGGATCTGTTCCGCCCTGAACGGGAAAGGCTGGCATCCGACGGACACCCATTGAGCCGTTCCTGATGATACCATTGGGAGGCCAGCGTTGGGCCGACTTCCTCGGCAGCCTCGTGGCCGAGAGAGGCTGGAACCCAGGAGAACGGCGTCCACGGAGAGACACAGCGGCAGATGCCGAACCCGAGGGGAAGGGGTGGGAAGCCCAAGAGAAACAAAACACCGGGCGATGAGGCACCCCCGTCAGGGTCTGAGCTTTCAAAGAAAGAGCTGTGTCGGTCGGTGGGAACAGATCCAAACAAGGAACAAGAAGTGGGGCTATCCACAAAAGCCCAGTTTGGCTGATCCAGAGGGTCAAACCCAACTCCTCCCCACCCACCCAGGATTGGCCCTGAAACGTCCTGCTCCCTGGGGGCTGCGCCTGGGGAGCAGCTGAAGGAGAGCGGCTCTGGGTCCAGAGGCCCGGCAGCTCCTGCCTTCTCTCCAATCAGCCACCTACAGCGTGAGGATGCGTCCCATTGGCGTCCGGAGGTCGGTCACCTGGAGGGGACGTGGCCCAAACCAGCCCCCCCTCACAGACAGCCAAGGCTCAGCCCTACCCTAGGATCAAGGAGGGCTGTTTATGCGCTCCCTGCCCCGGCCGCAGACACACACACCCCAACGCCAAACTCAACACAGACCCCCCTGTGCCCCCCCCCACAGACACTCTTTTCTCTCCTATGACTTGTAATTCCTGCTTCACAACGGAAACACTGCCAATTACTGGGGAGGGTCTCTGACAGATACTTCACTGGGGTTGAATCTGAGCCGCCCCCCTAACGACTGAGCCATAATTACACTGTTTTGCAAGTGCTCGTCTTTCGCCGCCCAGGACGCCAGCCTCCACCCCACCCCACCCCCAGCTCTCTTCATCGAGGGACAGATGCTCAGCAGGGAGCAAAAAGCTCCATCGCTGAGACGCAGGAAGGACAGGGGGCCAGGGGGGCATCATTTAGGCCAACCCTGGCCAGGGGAGGCTGAGGAGCCTTAGCACCTATAATTGCATTAACAATCCTTCTAAGTGGGAGACTAATTAAATCTGAGCAGACGGGGGAGGGGTGGTGGAAAGCAGCCCCTTCCGTACCTGTGCACACACACACCCCGGCTCAACCCCATGTCCTCTTTCTAGGGCGGGGAGCCCAGCTGGGCGGGCGCCCCCTCACTGACCTCCACGGCCTCTTCCAGGCTCTCCCTCAGCGCCTGGAGCTCCTGCACACACACACACACACCCCCGGCTCAACCCCATGTCCTCTTTCTAGGGCGGGGAGCCCAGCTGGGCGGGCGCCCCCTCACTGACCTCCACGGCCTCTTCCAGGCTCTCCCTCAGCGCCTGGAGCTCCTGGCCGTGCTGTTCTTTGAGCCGGTCGATCTCCTGGTCGTGGCCGGACACCTCTTCCTTCAGGGCCCCCTTCAGGGCCGTCAGCTCCCGCTCCCGTTTCCTCAGCAGCTCTTCCAGCTGTTCTCGGGCCGCCAGGACGTCCTTCAGGTCCTCCTTCAGCTGCATCAGCTCCTAAACCCGGGAAGGAAGGTCTCCTCAAGCAAGGCCCAGGCGGTGCTTCCTGGACAAACCGAGGAGACCCTTCAAGGAGAAACGTGTGGCTTTCTGAGGCCGCCGCTGAAACATTCTTCAACCTCCGGACCTTCCAGGCGGGCGGGAGGGCAGGCTGAGCCACCCCCACTGATGCAGGAGGAGAAAGCCACCTCTGGGCGGGCCCAGGTAGGTGCCGCCCGTGGAGCACCTCAACAGGTACAGACCATCTTGGGGTAATAAGCCAAGGACGTCAAACGTGGCATTCTTGAGTGGGTGCCCGCCCTGAAGGGAGGGTTTCCCAAGATGTAGTGGGCCACACAGAGAACTAGTAACATCCACGACTCTCCCAATGACCAGTGGAAGGAAGCACAGCCGGTGAAGCGCTCAGCGCCGCGAGAGGCCTGCTCACTTCCGTCCAGGACAGAGGAGAGCCCCTCACCACCGCCACCACCACCACCACCGCCACCCCTGCCGCAGACGCCCATCCCTCTTCACAGAGCCCACCCACGCCGGCTGGACCCCCCGCAGCTCACCTCAGCGAGGATCTCCCTCTCGCCCTCCCCGGCGTGCTTCGCCCCATCCAACTCATCGTGCATTTCGGAGAGCTGGTCCTGCAGGTCCCGGATTTCGCTCTGGTGCTGTTCCCGCTCCATTTTCACTTGGAAAAGCCTGAAAAGGGAAATGAGGAGAGTGCCTTTCAGGGATTTCCTTTCACGCACGGAGCCGGTGGCCAGCCCCATTTCCTGAGAAATCCTTCCTGACTTTGGGGGCAGAGGAGGAAGAGAGAGAGAGAGACTCAGAGGCCTCCACCTTTCTGGAAAAAAGGGAATGGAAGACTTGCTGGCAGGGTGTGGGCGTGCGCCGGGCCTGCCTCCACCTCTGGACTCGGCTGCCTAGAAGGGGCAGCTGGTGTCCTCCGTGATGCTGCTGCCGCTGGTCCTACTGATCTGGCTGCCCCGGCGCTGGAGGTCACTCAGGATGCTGGGAATCGGAGCCAAAGCCACAACGAAGGAACTGGGAATATCTTTTGACGTTTGGAGGCTGATTTCCGAGGGAAACGAATGAAATCCTCCGAGGGTCATCATCAACTGTGTGTCCTGCACACTTTGCGCGCTCCTAAGCCAGGATCCTATTGAGCTTTGTGCATTTAGAATTACATTGGTATGTTTAAAGGAAGAAAGAAAGTGGCAGAGGGTTCCGAATTGGAAACAAGAAAGAGGACTCAGCCCGTGACTTGCAGACTTCTAGGATCAGGCCCAAGAGGAAGCAACCTCACAGACATGGGCACCACAACACACACACACACACGCACACACACACACACACTTTCCTTCTGCATGAAACTCACTCCTCTAGATTTTGCCTCAGGTCCCTCTCGGTTTCTTCCAGATGCCTCTGAAGGGCATCCTTCTCCTCCAGACTCTTCTCCAGCTGCTGCTGAAGCTCCCTCAACTCTCCCCTCATGGCGTCTCTTTCCTCTCTCATGTTCTGCTGGTTCTGAAGAGAGGAGATCAGAAATATATGAGGATGGTCAGCTGTGGAAGGAAGGAAGGAAGGAAGGAAGGCAGGCAGGCAGGCAGGAAGACAGACAGGCAGGCAGGCAGGCAGGCAGGCAGGCAGGCAGGCAGGAAGGCATACTTGGGGTAAACAGAAGACTAATTTTATTTACCCATGTTCCATCTGAAGCTGTGAGGCCCTCTTTTAAGAAAAGGGAGAAAGAGGAGAGAAGCATTGCTCTCTAACTCAAGAGATGGCTCTTTGAAAATAAGGCCATTTACAGGGATTAAGTGGAGCCGGGCCGATGTTCAGCGGCATTGGTGTTGCCTTTTCAGTGGCACTCGGCTCCCTGGGCAGGATCTGTGTGCATGGAGGCAGTTCCACATAGCCCAGCGCTGCCAGCTCTGACTGGCAGCAGCCAAGTATAAACCCAGTGTGGCATCTTTCTCATCGTTCTTTGAGCACTGAATCTTGAAGGGGGGGAACGTGAGGGATGGCATCTGAGGCCTTCTGCAAATAAACCAGAGGCTCTGCCACTGAGCTGTATACCCCGTCCCCAAATGGATTGGCCATTCCCTGGTTGCCCTGAAGACCCCCGGGTTCTCCATCTGGATAAAGAGGGTAACAGAACCAGGGACACGACTCAGGATCCGTAATCTCTAAATCCATCTGTGGCTCTCCTTGTTCTGCCTCCCCCGCCTTGTTATGACATCATAGAACAATTTGTGGGGCTCCACAAAGTAGATTTTCTCCTGCTTTTGAATGGGGTGGGGGTGGAATAATTGGGGCTGGGGGGAGGAGAACGGGCAGGAGGCCCGGCACCCTACCCAGACTTCCAGATCCAGCTTCTTCTGCAGCTCCGAACGCTCTTCTTCTAGCGCCTTCTTTTGCTCCACCAGCCCCTTGACTTCGGCTGAAGTGTCAGAAGCCTGTCGTGGAAGAAGGAGAGTTTGTGCGAAACGTCACAACGTGCCTTGTTTTTGAGGGGCCGCAGCCGCCGCAGCCTGGAATTAATCAGGGAAGGTACGGTAGCAGGAGGGCACCCTTGTTGACTCTGGGCAGGAGCCAGCCTTGGCACAATCAGGCGAGGGGCCCCGAACAAGGGACGTGGCTCTGCCCGGGCAGGGCCGACACGGGCGCGGGGAGAGGGGAGGCTGGCAGCCTGAGGGGGCCGTTGGGGAGGGGTGGCACCGGTGGTGACCCGGGCACGTCGGCACCCCATCTGCACACACCACACCCCTGGGCTCAACCAGGAGGGAAGGACTTTTGAACAATGACCCCGAGCCTGTGCCTCCGTTCAGGTGCCCGAACGGGCAGGGCGGGGGCCAGTTCTCCTCCTCCTCCTCTGCCCCCCCCGCAGGAATTCCACAGAGCTGGTCAAGCGCCAGGGAGGCCCCTCTGCAGCCCAGGTGCCTTTTCTACCTGGCTGCTCCCAGCTGCTCTGGACTTCAGCGTCTGGATCTTCTCAAACACCAGGTTGACTTTCCGTTTCGTTGCATCGTCGTTCTCCCCACTCCTGAAACGAGGACAAAGATCAGCCCCCCGAGAAGGCAAGATTTTGGGAGATCTAAAATGAAAAGCTCCCTTATCACTCCTTCCTTCCTATGCAAAAAGCCACTTGTTTTCTTGTTTATTTATACGTACCCCACCTTTCTCCTTGAGACTTACATCATTCAAAGCAATATTAAAAGCTAAGAAGAAATGAACTGTTCAAATATTAAAGAAGAATGAATAACATCTTAAAATGTTAGGAAGAAAAAATTTGGAAGCCACACAAGACCCACCGACCCCCCAAGGTCGTGGCTGACCTTGTCTCCTACAGAGTAGGTCAGCCACAAAGGGAAAAGGCCTGCTTAAAAGGAAACGTTTCGGCTGGCTTGCTTGCAGGACAGCAAGGGTGGGGCGCATTGGGCCTCCTGTGACAGAGGTTTGCGGATCCGTCGAGGGCAGGCAGAGTGGAGGTCCAACCACCACCACTGCTTCCTAGCAGGTTGGCCAAGTGAGAAGGGGCAAGACTAACAGCTGTGAGCCTGCAAGGGAGGGGGAAGCCAGGCTGAAGCGGGCCAGACCCGCCCCCCAACCACCCCTCCCAAGCGGTCGTATTTTCAAGCCATCCCTCCAGATGTGTAGGCAAGACCACAAACCCTTCCTTGAGATAGTTGTAGAGGATCTGCTTGGCTGTCTCCTCGTTGGTTTGCTGCGAGAGTTCCTGTGGGCCCTTGAGGAGATCCGGGGTCACCTGGGGAACACAGAGCGAGGTGTCAGCCTCAGGCCCCGCGGGGGGGAGGAGGGAATCCAAGCAGGGTTGGCCCCAGAGCTGCAAGCAAGCTGGGTGCCCCGGGAAAAGGCACAGAAACCTTCGTGATGGCACAGAGCCCCACCAACAGCCCCGGTCTGCGCACAACTGCTCCCACCACCTCCAAACACAGGTTTTGAGGTGAAATACACAGGATTTAACCAACCAGTCCCTCCAAATGGCCAGAGTTACATCTTTGAAGGGGCTTAAAGTTTTCACAAAAGTCCCTGCCCCAAGTTACCTGGACTTTTGAAGAGGAAGCAAATGGTTTCGCAGAATTTTTCTGAACCTCAGCACGGTTTGGTAACAAGAGAGTGGACGTCATCGTTTTATTTTCCACTTTTCTGTTCAGTATCGGAAGTGTAGACGACTTATAAGCCACACTCTCGCTGGTGTTTTTACTTTGCTTGTGATACCGCAAAGAGTTGAAATAGGTGCCGGGGGGGCCTCTGGCCGTCGCTGGTTGAAGCTTGCCCACCGTCCGAGGGGCCACCTGCTGCCCGAGAGAGGCTGGCTTGCGATCCGGGGAGAACGGCTTCTGCAGGCTCGCTTTCGCAGGCCCCTGGACCTGCTCCGAGGACATCTCCAGATTTTTACTAAACTCTTCCAAGCCATCCGGACTCAGCGTGAGGCCAGGCAATAAGGCGCTGTCCAGACTCCTGGACCTCTTCCGGTCCTCCGGGTGGATCCTGCTCCTCGTCCCCAGCCTGCCTCTTCGGTGGGGGGCGACTTTCTTGTCAAACTTCTCAATGAGTTGGTCAACGGCAGGAATGGAGCCGGTGTCGATGTCGCGGCCCGTCCCCGGCAAAAACGGGATGTACCTCCTGTTCTCGTGCCGATTCACGTTGTCGGCGTAGATGGCGCACTCTTGGTCATCGAGAAAGAACTTGTACAAGGAGGCTGCGGAAGTGGGGGTGGCGGAGGAAGACGAGGACCGCCGGGAGCTGTCCAGAACAGAGCTGGCCGAATCCTGCCTGCGGAAAGGAAGGAGATCAGGCCTGCATTTCCTTGGCTCCTGGAGGGTGGGCGGGCTTACCGTGTGCGAAGACCCCCCGCTCGAGGAAGGAGATCCATGCGTTCCATTAAGACTTTCCGCAGCCCCGGAGCGCTCTGGATCCTGCTTGCTCACGTCTTCTCCTGCGGCAGGCTTGGTCAGATCCACCATTTTGGGTTTCGGTTTGGCAAGTTCTGCTAACTGGAGGGTGGTTCTATTGAGCGGTGCGACTTTCAGGGGTAAGTTCCGAGACTCTGCGTCCGTTTTTTCTTCATCCGCAAGAGGCTTCGATGTACGGAACGGGGGGAACGGAAACTCTTCCAGATTCAGGGCATTGTTTTCTGGATTGTACGGCTGCAACAGTTCTGGATGCCTCTGGAAATTCAACAGGCTGGAAGACTTTGGGAGCCCAGCTTTGATTTCTAAGCTGCTCTTCTCCCCATCATCCACGCTGGCCTGCTTCGTCCTTTTGAACGTACTTGGCAGGGCCCTGTAAGTGCCCGAACGTGGCCTGCCTTCACCTGTGGTCTCCTCAAGTTCACGGGAAGAGCTGGCGCCTGGGACTGATCTATTAAGGGTCTGGGTGGCAACCTGCTGGCCATTTTCAGAGGCCGTGTGGTTTTCAAGCAACTGCTGCTCTGCGTTGTTGAGCACAAGGTAGGGATGGCCGTCAATCCCTTGCACTCGGATGCTGACCCCGTAGGTTCCTCCCTTTGGGCCGGGCAGACTGTTTGCCACTGGGGCATCCTCACTGGCCTGCTTCAGATGGAGAGGCTCCCTGTCCCGCTGCGGTTGCAAAGCCCTGAAATGGCCCAGGTAGGGCTCCATCCTTCACATGGGCCCCAGCCCTGCAAAGAGGAGAGAGGACAACATGAGTCGCCCGCAGCCTCGTTGGGCCAGTCCCTGGGGAATCCACTGAACAGGCCTTTGGGGCCGACCCCGGACAACGTGGCACCTGAGGAAAATCTGCAACACACCTCCCACGTCCACCATGACAACGGGGCACCCCATGTGCATGGAAGCGCATGGCGTCTCCTTGTGCTGTTCCAGGCATTTCCATGGGGTTCATGGAGGAGAAGGAGTAGCAGATGGTGGTCATGCCTTGGATCGCCTCCCTCCCGTGCCCTGGACGGCTGGCGAATGCCCAAGGAAACAATGGGCTGCCAAATTTGCATCCAGCAGACAGCAATGGTTTTATGTCACCGGCAAGCCCCGGAGAGCCACTTGGCCGATCAAGGCCGAGGCCCGCCCACCCTCGCCTCCACCCCAGCCCGCCGGCCCCTGCCAGCTGCTAGCATCCTCCTTACAGGCTCTTCCTCTGTTCTTCGCCCACCAGGTGGGAGAGGGAGCCTCAACTCATGCCGGGGCCTTCTCCACGGTGGCTCCCTGGCTTTGGAATGGTTTGTCCCCAAAGTGAGTCCTTTGGCGTGCAAGTCAGCAGGGCTGCGTGTAAGTGTGGGCTTTTCAACACGCCCAAGAAGCAGAGAAACTGGGGTTATTTTTTGGGGGGGGTGCCATTTAATACTAGCTTTGCTAATCTGCTATTACTTGTTTTAACGCTGTTTCGTGTCTGTTGCCTTATTGTTTTTCATACATATTTGCAAGTTTGATTTTCCAACTGCTGTTCTTGGTGCATTAGTTTGACTGAACAGTAGTAACCCAGACATGCCACATATAAATAAACTCCTATGTGGCAAGCACTTTTTCCAAATGAGGAAGCCAAAGCAAAGAACCAAACAAACAAAAAAAAACGTGTACTTTTGCTCTTGGGTTCTCTTTTTCAAACATAGATGCACACGTACACAACATTGCTACAATGTGTCCTTCAATCAGGTTGTAATTTTAAAAATCAGAGGAGGAAGTTGCACCCTCTCACTCTTGCGCTCGCTCTTTCTTTTGGCGGTGCAACCCCATCTCGCTCTGCACGGAGGAGGAGATTCCAAGGAAGTGAGAAAGAAGGCAAGAGGGATGGAGAAAGTGGGGAGCCAAGCAGGATCTCCTGAGGCAAGGAGTTCCACAGGAGTGGAGGCACTGCTGAGAAGGCACCGCCTCTGGCCCAGCCTCCCTCCGTTCAGCCTAATTCCTCTCCCACCGACTCACAGCCTGCAGAGGAACAGGAGGAGAGGAAGGGTTCCCCCCCCCAACGAGGCGGGGGCCCACCAGACCCTCCTGCCACCACCTCCTTTCTCCTTCAGCCCGGAAATCCTTCCCCCATTTCAGAGGGCCCCCCCAAGTGATAAACATCAGATCATAAAGGAACAAAACAGCAACTGAGCTGCCCTTTTCCTGTTGAATCAGCTGTTGGGCCACAGCCAGGAAGCACATCTTCAGCACCTGACATTTTGATTTCCCACCAAAGCAAAGGAAACAGGAGGAGAAAGCAAGGACCGAGGAATCGCAACGCCCTGGAGATCCTCATTTCAGACGATGCCACTGGGTGGGTGACTGGAGAGAAGCTCGGCCCTCGCCCTCCCTCCTTTACAAGGTTTCGCGAAAGGGCCACCAGTGGCCGAAAGGGGCCTTTCAAGGGTGAAGGGGAGGCTCTCTTGGCCTCCAGTGGGAAAACGCTCAAGACTTTGACGCCAAGCCAGGGCTGGCAGGCGACACGGCAAGCAAGCGTGGGGTTCCCGTTCCCTCTTTGGAACAACTGTGGGTCGCTCAGCAGCCCAGTAACGGGATGAGACCAATCTGCTCTGAAAAAGCAGTATTATGGGCACTTCAGACCAAAGGCCTTTATTTATTCATTCAAACTACAGTACAGTACATGCTAACACATCATGAGTACTGAAATTACATTGGTTTCCCCAAAAAGTTATTAAGGAAGACTTTTGCATCTGAGAAATCAGATTTGCAAAAGAAAAAACATACTTATGTTCTGAAGGCCAACTGCAAAACAAAGCACGCTGATTTCCAAACACTAGGAGGTGAGGGAATGACCAAATCGCCTGCTGTGACCATCACATGCAACCAGCAAAGAACTCCCTCTTCGAGTGATCTGTAACAGACAGGCGAGCTCTTCAGCCAGGGACTGGCCTCGCCCCTCGCCCCCTTTGCTCAACGTGGAGAGCCAGCACATCCCTGCCTTTCACCCTGGACAAGGGCGCCACCCACGCCCAGGGGGCACCGTGCGGGACAGGCGTCGCTGGAGCCGGCCTCTGGCCCTGCCCGAGGACGAGGAGCGAGCAGCTCAGCGGGGGCCAAGCCACAGGAAGGAAACTACAGGTGGAAGAACAACGGCCGGAAAGCCAGTGGGGCCCCTCCAGAGGCTTGCATCTCAGCCCCGCCACCACCCCGAGCCTGCCATGGACTTCCGCGCTCCCTTCAGTGTCCTTTTGTTTCGCTTGCACAATCGCAGCCCACATTTGCTGCCTGGCTTCCAGGTATTATGAGCGCAGGAGACAATCCGGAAAGGATGCCTGCCCTCCGCCAGATCCCGGGCCTTTGGAAACCAACACAAACCTTGAGTGGTTTTGACAGGCTTGGAAGCCAAGCTTGAGCAGAAACAATGTGCAGTTTATATTCATGGGGTGGAGGTGCCTTCCTCCTCCGCGTGGGGGGGCGGGGAGCTGGTGGTGGGAATGACATCGCTCGGCGGCGTAGAAGTTAAGGGGGGGCAGCCACATAAAAAGCCACGGCCAATACGCTCGGCCCCTTTCTTAGCATTCTCCTGTGCCTCTTCTCCAGGCCCACCTCTCGTCGGAACGGAGGGTCTCCACCCCTCCTTGGCTGCCCATTTCACACCACAGATTGTTGGGTCCAACAAGCACTGAGGCTCTTCTATGCTCACGTGCCTAAGCATAAATGGCACCTCAACCCAGTAAGGTTTACTTCTGAGTAAACATGAGCACGGCTGATCTGCAACTCAGCCAGAGAGGCTTCTCCAGTTGTTGGAAAATACAAGACTGTGGGTGGCGGGAGGCTTCAGTTGCCCTGCTGGGGGGGGGGTCCCGAGTCAACTGGCTGACCACTGAGCGGGCAAGAGGTTGCTGGATGAGACAGGCCAATGCTCTGATCAACGATCGGGGCTCTTCCTTGGCCCTTGTCTCTTTGCTGTACAAGATGTACGAAGCCATCTGCATTTTGTGTCTCATTTTGTGACCGGATGAGTTTCTTTGGTCTTTTGAAAGACCTTTTCAAGCCCGCTCGCTCTCTTTTATGTACATCTGAGATCCTTTTAATTGGAGGCAGGGGCAGCTGAGAGCCAGGCATGGCTTCATCCACCCCACTGCCATCTTTTTCCCCCCTTGACCATTTGCATTTCCTTGCCCTTTTAAAAATTGCAAGAACAGGCCAATTGAGAAGGAACATCTATCAGTGTCAGGACCGGGAGCTGCATTATAAACATTTTGGGAAAGAAAAACAAGGCATCCCTTTTGACCAGCAAGTGCCTGGAGGGGACGGCTATTGCGCTCTGTGCTCTGCGGTGCGTTATCAGCCTCCTGGGCCAGATCAACCCCACTTAATCCGCAGTTCCAAGGTATTTATGACTTCACTTCTATGGACGTGGACTTCTCCCAATCAGATAAAACCAGCACAACTATTTCCTGCGGTCCCATCAAAAGATAAAAGATACGAGCAGTACCTGGACTCCGTTCAGTTTCACACTCTGGCTCACACCCTGATTTCCTAACTTAGCCGAGGCAGGAGGGGGGTTTCGGAGAACCTTCGGGTCTCGGCGCTTCCAAGGCAAGCGGCGTCTGCTCCAAATACTGTCCCCCTGGCTGAAGGCAACCGGTGTCACGAAGGGCTGCCACAGCACCCACCCGTCGGTCGGAAGGGCACCCTCTGGATGCTCTTCGGATCCACCCAACAGAGGCTTCAGGGAGACCTCCGGTTTCTGCACGTGCTTTTGAAACCAAAGCCGCTTTGCTCTGCTTCCCTCTCTTGGGATATCAATCCTGACATGCCAGGAATCAGTCTCCTTGTCTGCAAAACAGGAGAATGACAGACAGCAGGCAGGCCCCGTGGCTCCGGCGGCCTTTTTGCCTCTCCTAAATAAGTTGGGACAAATCACCGCGTCCAGGGTGAGCAACGGGGTCTGAACGTGTCGGGGGCTGCTCCCAACAACCCCTGGGATCCTTCTGGCACAAACGACAATCCGCCACAGTTTAGGAAGTCTTAAAACCTGTCTGAGATTCTCTGCCGAGCCAGGCAACGTGGCTGCACCCACGGCTTCGTTACTACCCAAGTTCGACTGAGCAAAAAGGGGCTCACCTGGGAAGTCTGAGCGCCAGCCAAAGAAGGAAAAGAAAGCCTTCCTCTGTTGCTTGGCACTAAAGGAGAACAGCTGGGGCTTGCTTTTTTTTTTTTTTTTTTTTTGGAGGGGGGGAGCCTCTGCACTTGGCCACAGATCACTACTGCAGCTACAAGACTGCTGAAGTCAATCCCCGGAAGATGATGTGTTGTGGTGAGTTATTACTGCAAATGGAATCACCACAGGCGAACAGGTGACTCGTCCTCCTCTCTCTCCCCCCCCCACCATCCTCTCCCCGCTCTGTCTTCCCAGCCATCCCCCTCCTCCTCTTGAGCAGCTGGCAGCTTGAGGGAGAGAGAGATGGGGGGGGCAGGAGACCAGGGGAGTAGAGACAACAGCGCAGCTGGGCTGTGAAGGCAGGCAGAGGAACGGGAAGGGTAGACAGAGGGAGCAGCTGGAAAGGGGGGACCCCAAGAATCAGCGAGGGAGGAGAAATCCCTCCTTCAGAGGGAACCACCCTCGCTGAGCAGAATTCTGAAGCCCTTCAAGACCCAGAAGGGTGGATGCAGCGAGATCTGGAGGCGGGCCACGCGACCCAGGCCACGTCCGTCTTGAGCGCCCAGGCGCCTCTTTCCCATGTTTGCTTTCTTGGTT